TATACTTATTATTCACTTATATCCACAGTATTTTATAAATAATCAATCAATAAAGAATAAAACTTCAATCAGATCATTTTTGAAACATTCTCAAGTAAAAGATTACGATGATTAATTATAGATTAAAACTATGCACACTTAAAGCTTAGCTGAACAATTTGTTCTGAGGGGTCTTTTCAAACTTTTTGTCATCTTTTCATGATTTTATTAAGTGACTGTGTTTATCTTCGGAATCACTAGTAGGATTGCAATTTCCTGTATTCAGGGTTCTAACATATTTAGTGATTGACATCATTTGAGTATGATTACAGTTTTGCGTGATAGTCGTACTAAATCTAAGCTAGGGATGTTTGACAATAGGAGTCTTTGTGGTTAGTGCGTCTGTGTGTGTGTGCGTGTGTAACGACTTCCATTTAACTACACCCACCAAGTGATTACAAACCTAGTAAATGACTAATTTATATTAATATTTATATTAATATTTAATAATAGCATAGCTTAGGTTTAGTTAATGTTAAATCATAGGATGTATGGTGTTATTTCTACTTTTATTTAATTAAACTCCAATTAAAACGCAACCCTATATAGGAACGCATTTTAATCAAGTTCATATCGCAACTATATTAAAAATCAAGCCAATGTGTGTCAACACAATGATGTATGTAAATATATATGAGTGTGTGTGTGTGTGAGTGTGAGTGTGGGGAATCATCATTGTGACGACTTTCATTCAGTAACATACACGCCAAATGACAACAACTTGACCAAGTGACAACTTTCACAATTTTCCATAATTTATATTAATATTTAATCAAATTTAACTTAAGTTTGTGTAGCTTAGGGTTGGTAAAGGGTAAGGTATGGTACACTTTATATTATATTTAATATAACTGCCATACCTACCATGTTTAATCGCCAAGGTCTAAAAAGGCTGAACATTTTGAAATAGTACTAGGAGTTGTGAAGCTAAACGAAATGAATGATTCACACAACACAAAAATGTATACTTTATTTGATGGAAATATGAAGTAAACAATGTAACATAAAGTAAAATAAATTAACATAACTGGATTGCATTTAACAATCATAACCGATACCTATCTACAAATAAATGCTAAAAAAAAAAAAAAAAAAAAGCATCATTGTATGAATATTGAGGGCGCACTTTTGGAAATCAATTATGGCGACTACGGTATGCAAGTTGGATGTCACTGTTGATGCAAATAACCCAAGACCTGCGGCTCTGGAGATAATGAAACATGTCAGGCCTTACTGGAAGGGTGAAAATGTACAGCTGAAAGTAAGAGTTGACTTTCAGTCAGATGTGTATCAATATTTTATACTATCCATATGTGATTTATTACCCCCCATGGTCAGGACCCACCAATCGTATCCCTTTCGATTATAAACTATAGCTATTACAGACCATGGATTCATAGAAATAGTAATAACAATATTATAACACCAATATGTACAGGAAGATATTCTATGTTTACAATGAAAACTTATGGAATACTACTTTGGAGTACCATAAGTAGGTCACCTTAAGTAGGTCACCTATAGAATCACTTCTCAATTGATGATATTAAATTTTCTCCTCCATTTCAGCAAACCTGATAAAAAAAGGAGAATGTTTATGACCAGGGTATGTCTGAGTTTGAAAAAAAATGATGAACCTTTCTTAAAAATAGACAATGCTTGCCTATATAGTGACCCTCCCCTCAGTGTCTCGGTTGCAATATTTGTCAATTAGTGGTAGTCATGATAGTGTCAGTATTGCTGGTTATTGTCATCTTGAGAGTGTCGGTTGTCATGTTATCAAGTTAGTGCATTTAGAAAAAAAAGTTTTATGAAACACAATAGAAATATTATAGAATCTGAATAAACTAGAATTGTTTTTATAGCATTTTTGTAGACATTTGAAAGATTTTGTATAGGTGTTTTATAGACTGCTTATATTTGACTGTATGTACACAAGTCCTTATAAGGAGAGATTATTTCCCTGATATGTCAGGTTACCAGTAAATCAATATACTGTATTATTAAGATATGATTTCAGATTAGTAGAATTTGTACAGAATTCCTATAGAATTTCTAGATCAACTCTGTTCACAATGTAAGATTTAATCAATTGTATTCATAACATTCTATTATTCTAACTTGTAAACCCAAATCATGAATTTGAAAAAATGACAGGTTATAAGAATTGTTTACGTTTTTTTTTATTTATGGAAAAACTGTTATTTAATCTATTTTAACATCATTAGACCTAAAATACATGCACTGACCAACGTTTATTGTAATTTCCATTAATGTTTAGAGCACATAGATGCAATGTATATATGCATAGAAATTAGTCCAATCTGTAGCTGTGGCTCTTATTGAGTGTTGGTAGGGAAGTGAACAAACAAATTAAATGTTCTTCCTGGTGATGCATTATGGGATGTTAATCAAGATTTTGGAAGGCAAGGCTTTTACAAAATTCGTTTCAGATTTATGAGAATAGGAAGGACAGTTCTATTCACCTGATTCATTGACTAGCTTTTTTGATTCCCTGGTGCAAAGCACACAATGGGAGGCTTTGCAGTTAGTTTGTCTGTTATGTGTGTATGTGTGTGTGTTCCACTGATATCTCAAGAGCCACTCATTGGATTTTAAGGAAACTTAATACATAGATGCTCTGGACTAATGCACAAATTTGTTTCGTTTTGGGTAAAAATCTGTTCATTACCTAATTTGAATAATGATTAATGATATCTTAAGTACAAATCATCACATTTCAATGAAACTTTATACATAGATGTCATAGCACAATGCTCTGACCTGTTAGGTTAATATCGTGCATATTAATTACGTATTGCATAATCAATTTTTAGCTTTTGATATTTTGAGTACTAATCATCACATTTCAATGAAACTTGGTACATGGATGCTCACGGACACTGCACAGAACTGATTAGTTTTGGGTGAAAATATGTGCATATTAATTATCTAATTTGCATAATTGGTCCATTTTCAACTTTCACACTGATACCTCAAGTAATAATTATTCAATTTCAATGAAACTTGGTACATAGAAGCTCTAGGACAATGTACACAACTGATTAGAGTTAGGGTTGAAATCTGTTCATATTAATTCCTTAATTAGGATAATAATTTATAATTTTTTGTTTCTAATCATATTTCAATGAAACTTTGTACATAGATGGTCTGTGACATTGCACAGACCTTATTAGTCCCTGTTCGGACGAAGTCCGAAAACGGGGACTTATAATTCAGTCTCCGTCTGTGCATCCGTGCGTCCGTCCGGAGTCATATCTCAGAATCCCTTGGACCGATTCCGTTCATTCTTTGCATGTGCCTAGTACTTTATGTGGGACATATGCACATGCAGTGGTTTAGCGATTCGATTCAAAATGGCCGACTGGCAGCCATCTAGTTTTTTGAAAATGTTGTATTTTGGACATGCTTTGTCAGTTGTCATTCAAACTTGGTACATAGATTATACATGGATACATGTCCATGACGATTTATTTCGCAATTGGATCAAAGATGGTCGACTGGCAGGCATCTTGTTTTTTTTTTATGCGGTATCTTGAACGTGCTCTGTCAATTTTCATTCAAATTTGGCACATACATGTACTTTATACATGTTAGGATGCATGTCCATGACAATTTGTTTCAAAATCGGGTCAAGGATGGCCGATTGACAGCCATCTGACTTTTTGGCCTATATTTCCACAATTTATGTACCATTCTCATTCATATTTGGCACATACATCATACATATCAGTGTGTTTCATAATCTGATCAAAGATGGCCGAATAACGGCTGTTTTTATTTTTGGCCATATTACTACTACACGGAACACGTGTTTTGATGTAAATAAACAATCTGTTGTATACGCCACTTGGAACTCAAGTTTCAAGGACACGCTCGCGACAACCCCTCCGCTTTAATATGACGAGCACAAAGAGAACTTTCAAAAACTTAACGGGGACTGTGTCATTTTCAATGACTTGTTTGTTTTACACTCAAATGTGTGCATATTAATTACCTGGTTTGCATAATTAGTTTTCAGCTTTTCCATCAATATTTCAAGTAATTACAAGTAATCTCCAACACTCAGCACACAAGAGTTCTTTCTCTGCTTTCTTTGATTTGTCTAATTGTAAATAGATTTGTTGTTGTAATTTTTTGCTACCACTGTTAAATTAATACAAATTATTATAGGGTTATTTTGTCTCGTTTTATTAATCTCATGAAAAGGGATAGAAAGTGTGAAAGCATTAGTGGTTTGGCAATACAGTCACCATCTTGAATGTGATGTTGTGTATTACCGGTTGTGTATCTTGTTCAGGTATTTACTGGTGGTAACACAAACAAGATCTTTGGCTGTTATTTGGATGAAAACGAACGACAAATGGTACTCCTCCGAGTCTTTGGGAAAAAAAGTGAAATAATGATTGATAGAAAAAGGGAAATTAGAAATTTTCAAATACTACACCGTGCGAAATGTGGTGCTGAATTATATTGTATATTTAACAATGGTCTGTGTTATCAGTTTATACCGGGTAGTATACTGGATGCAGACTTAGTAAGGAATGATAAAGTTTATCCGTAAGTTCCAAGTGATTTTGTTTTA